AATGACATTGGAAGTCTGAAAATGCTGCCTTTGCAAATGAAAAACAAAATAGGTCAGAACTATATGAAGAAATTTATCTAAAGAAATGCTATTGTCCTCCATGACCAAAGGCACTGTATCTATAAATTCACCTAAGTGAAGTTGCATCCATGGCACCAGAAACCAACCCTGAAGCCAAATTGAGACAGGAGGGAACAAGCAGAGATTTACAGTGCATTTCTTTGAGGATGTACCAGGAAAACAAAGGACTGCAACAGATCTGCCTTAACCCATCAGTTTGCAGGAGGACTATACCAATAAAAAGATTACACTGGGCCGGGCGCTGTGGCTCATGCCTGTAATCCCAGCACTTTGGGAGGCCAAGGCGGGTGGATCACGAGGTCAAGAGATGGAGACCATCTTGGTCAACATGGTGAAACCCCATCTCTACTAAAAATACAAAAAATTAGCTGGGCACGGTGGCGCGTTCCTATAATCCCAGCTACTCGGGAGGCTGAGGCAGGAGAATTGCCTGAACCCAGGAGGCGGAGGTTGCGGTGAGCCGAGATCGCACCATTGCACTCCAGCCTGGGTAACGAGCGAAACTCTGTCTCAAAAAAAAAAAAAAAAAAAAAAAAAAGATTACACTGGTTCTCCAAGAGAGGGATGCAGAGGGCAAGAGACTTCCTTATCTCAAATCAGGAGCTCCAAAGAGAGAAGCCTAGGAATCTCTAAAGATGGAGATATGGAAAGCAGTAGTTAGGACCCCTCTGCAGTGTGAATCCCAGCGTTTCCATTTGCCATTGGGACCTTGAGAAAGTTTTCTCTTTCTTTTTTTTTTTTTTAAAACAGAGTAGTCTCACTCTGTCACCCAGGCTGGAGTACAGGTGTCAAAGTCTCAGCTCACTGCAGCCTCCACTGCCAGGTTCAAATGATTTTGGTACCTCAGCCTCCTGAGTAGCTGGGATTACAGGTGTGTGCCACCACGCATTGCTAATTTTTGTATTTTCAGTAAAGATGGGGTTTCACCATGTTGTCCATGCTGTTCTCAAACTCCTGACCTCAAGTGATCTACCCGCTTCAACCTTCCAAAGTGTTGGGATTATAAGTGTGAGCCATGCCACCGAGCCAAAAAAGTTTTCTTAAATCCCTCTGTCCCTCAGTTTTCTCATCAAAAAATGGAGGTAATTATAATATTTGCTTGTTTGAATTAATATAGCACTTGACATATAGTCAATAAATGTTAGCTGTGATGATGATGTTCCATGTAAGTTGTTATTTGTGATCCTCCCCAAATGAGAGACATTCATATTGGAACGATTATGAAGCCTGGAAAACCACCAGGCTTGAACAACCTAGAAAGAAAAGTCATTCATATGTTTGAATTCTCGAGTTCTTTTTCTAGAACCCTGGTTTGGTCATTTCTAACTGATGTAAAAGTTCTGACAATCTACAATAATCTATTAAGTGAACTGAGAAGGAATCTAGGGAGGATCTGAGTTAGGCTTCACAGTAACTGAAGAATAAAGATTTAAGGAAATGGAGCCATAATGATTTTTAAGAATTTGATGTTTGCCTTAAAAAGTTTAGTTTTTTAGACCAGGTGTGATGGTTCATGCCTGTAATCCCAGCACTCCAAGAGGCCGGTGGGACTGTTGAGCCCAGGAGTTTGAGACCAGCCTGGACAACAGAAGGAGACAGACACCTTCCCTACAAAAGATTAGTTGGGTGTGGTGGAGTGTGCCTAGTAGTCCCAGCCACTCAAGAGACCAGGCAGGAGGATCACTTGAGCCCCAAGAGTTCGAGGCTGCAGTTAGCTATGATCTCGCCACTGCACTCAAGCTTGAGTCACAGAGCAAGACCCTGTCTCTTAAAAAAAAATCATTTCCAGGCAATATTGTTTAAAAGTTCCTAGAGTATTATAATTACTGCTCACTTAATCTATATCACTTTTTGGAAAGAATGCAGTGCATTCTTTTTTTGATCTCAGGTTATTTTCTCTAGCATAAAAAAGTACTTTCCATCCAAAATCCTTCCACACAACATCAGACTTTTCAAACAAGCAAGATTTTTTTTAAAATCTCACGTGAAACTTCAATATATCTAATACAAATCTTTACACACTCAGTGAAAGTTTTTTCTGACCTTTTCAGAAGCATGTCGATGTGATTCTTCTGGTCAAATCTTAGGATATCATTTGAGAGAGACATTTATTTTAAACCTATTTCTCCCCCAAAAAAACTAAATAGCAAAGAATTCAAACCGAGTTAACTTACAAATATTTGAAATCTGTTTTGATTACGTTGAGTTGTTAATTGTTCTTTTCTAGCGCACTTAGTATATCTCTTGTGTCAATATACCCATTGCAAAAAGGGCTCTGATGAATTTTTCGGCTTTCACACTTCACAGTTTCTACCTCCAAATTGGGAAATTTCTCCTTCCTAGAAGAGCACAATAACTTGGCACCTACTCACACTTTATAAACTAATTGACTGTAATGCAGAAAAAAATACGTTTTACTAGAAGGAAACAAAATATCCAACACATTAGAGAAAGTAAGCAATAGGAAAATCATGGTCTTCTTGTGAACACTTTTCTAAGGTAAAGCGCTGGCCCCTATGGAAGGACCTACCACACTCCTCCTCTTTGCTGGCTGGCATGGTGGCTTAGTCAGGGTTCCCAGCCGTCTCCCCAGTGGGCAGGATCTCTTCTGGGAAAAATACTGTGACAGTGTTTGTAGTCCTGCCTTCTGCTGGTTTCTTTCTTGGTGTACCTCCAAGAATAGAATCATAGACATGTAGAGCTAGAAATTATTTTGGAGATTTTGCATATTTGAAAAAATGAAGTCCAGAAAAGGGAAGTAATTTACCCAAGGGCTAACACCTAACTGATAATAGGACTGGAGCCCTATCTAATGGTCTCCATTGCTTCCAAGCCCAACTGCTGCTTTGGAAGAACTCAGAATCCATATTTCACAGACATTTTTAGCTTTGTATTACCGTTATTAATAGAAATAGAACTATATGTGCAGAGAATAAACATTCAATGATTCAGTCATTAAAATAACATTTGCATAACATGTTGCGAATGTGTTATATATAATAGACAGTAACCAAATTTACTAAAATTTATAATGTGTTTATATATTTTAAAAATGTTTAAAAACTGTGAAAATAATATAATCTTGAATAAAATTGTATTCATGTTATTAACTAATTCAATCAACATTTTTGCAATTTCACCATTAGCAGACATAGTCATAAGTGTGAAAATATAGAAAAGACAGAAAAACAGTTCTTGTTCTCACCTTGCCAGCAAATTGGGAAGGCTGACATAAAACAGACAAGTATGATACTGTGTGTTTCCAGCTGTGGTATCATGTGGCATGAGTCCCATGGCAGCACAAATGAGGGGTACTTAACTGTGGTGGAAGAAAAAGAATGCTCCCTCAAATAGGTAACACCAGACTTGAATCTTTAAAAAGGGAGATTTAGGAACAAAGGGCATTAAAAGGAGAGAGAACAGCCTGTGCCAAGCAAGTAGGTTGACAGCACGTGGCAGATTTGGAGAGCAAGAACATCCATATGGCTACATCTCAGGATTAAATGAGGGTGAGGACAGGCAGGGACGAGATCATGAAGAGCTTTGTGCATCGTGATAAAACATTTCAGTTTTACCAGAAAATAATGAGAAGGTGTTGAAAAATTGTATGCTGTAAATTAAACAATGTGACTGAAATTATACTATAAAGCGTTTGTTACGTTTGGTTTGGTTTTACCCTGCTCCTTAATATCAGATGCCTTAGTAAAATACCTAAGAGTAGAATGTGATAAGGCCACCAGAATCTGGTTCTGGTGTAGCACTTACGAAAATCTCAATGTCTGCATCTGTGAAATGGAAATAATTATAAGGTTTTAAAAACTACACAAGTTAAGTCCTGTTAATCATTTATCACAGTGTCTTCTGTATTGTAAACACTCAATATATAGAAGCTGGCATCATGTTCATCATCAGTGTAAAAAGCTGGATTCCAGAAAGTGGATTAGAATGCCAAGGGTTGATTTTAACATCTGGACTTAAGAACAGTTTTCTGATTCTGCTTAATCTATATTGCTTAGAATAATAGAGCCCCTTTAACAGAACTACTTTGTCAGATACATGGCTAGGAAAAGACATTGGTTAACAAGATATATTGATTATGTATTTGAAAGGTAATTTTCCACTGATTTTGTTGTGCAAGAGAAAGTAAGAAAAGAAAATGAGTTTCAGCAGTTTGGAGCAGCATCCTGAGAAGATCTGTGTGCTTGATTTATTAGTTACAGGTAAAAGAGGGAAATGTCAAGGTTCATAGGTAGGAATTGGGAATAAAAATAAACTTATTTTTGCCTCCCTCTGTTGTTGGGCAGGCTCCCAAAAGAGAGAGCATATTATGCTTTTAATTTGCTACTACATTCTAACTAATTGTTTATAAAATATGCTTATACCAAAATGGCTGAAGCTTATTTTTTGCTGTATTTTTGTATTTGGAGTATTTTCTGTCCTTGTGCCAAATTGGAAATTTGAAATATAGTTTAGCAATTTCAGTTTGGTTGTATTTAAAAAATAGGCAGGTTCTAAATTAGACTTATTGTGTGTATAATGCCATCTTTCTATAAAAAACGACTATATTTCAGCCAGGCACGGTGGCTCATGCCTGTAATCCCAGCACTTTGGGTGACCAAGGTGGATGGATCACGAGATCAGGGGATCGAGACCATCTGGGCCAACATGGTGAAACTTCATCTCTACTGAAACTCAAAAAGTTAGCCAGGCATGGTGGCACGCACCTGTAGTCCCAGCCACTCAGGAGGCTGAGGCAGGGGAATCGCTTGAACCTGGGAGGTGGAGGTTGCAGTTAACCGAGATCTCGCCACTGCACTCCAGCCTGGCGACAGAGCAAGACTCCCTCTCAAAATAAAAAAAGACTATATTTTAATATTCCATAAAATGATAGCCTTACTTTCTGTATTCTATTTTGTTAGTGCTCCTATATCCCTCCCTGTAAGAGAGAGAATCAGAAGAATTTGGAAAGTGTCATGAATTGGCAACAGTACTGGAAAGATGAGATTGGTTCCCAGCCATTTATTTGCTATTTTAATCAACATCAAAGGTAAGTCAATATTTACATGTACATATTAAAATTGTTTGTAGTCTCTGCAACTTATTACACTGATATATCATAGATTATGCGCCCACTTGACAGCATGGAGACAGTCTCAACTCTTCCTAGCATGTAGTTACGGAAACGCATGTAAAGAACCTGCAGGACAGAGAGAAAGACTTGTGTTGTACATCTTACCCTCTGAATACACTAAAGAATGATAGTGCCTTTAGGTATGAACATTACTTTGCATTCCCTAAGAATTACAGATTGATGCTTGTGAGCTAAACAATGTGCAGATTTGTCAGCACTTTTTAACTGCATCAAATCTTTCCTTTCCTTTTCCTTTCTGTTCTGATGAAGTGTCAATAACGAGAGTTCACACCATTAAAACCTTACTTGACTTAGGGAGTACTCAGTTTATACCATATAAACTGTGTAAAGATGGTTTCTTGGACTAGAACACTTGGGTACCTGATCAGATTAATCAGCAGTTTATTCATCTAACATTTATTGAGTATTCACAACTCCTTGCCATACATCTCCACTTGGATGTTCCAGGGGTACTGCAAACTTCACTTCCTCCCATAATCTCTGTCTTAGAAAATGGCATGACCATTCACTCATTTACCCAATCCAGAAACCTTTGAGTAATTCTTAGTTCACTTTTTTCCTATGTCACCATCATGGATTTTTGTTTGTTTGTTTGTTTGTTTTTAGACAGAGTCTCACTCTGTCACCCAGGCTGGAATGCAGTGGCATGATCTCGGTTCATTGCAGCCTGTGCTTCCCGGGTTCAAGCGATTCTCCTGCCTCAGCCTCCTGAGTAGCTGGGACTACAGGCACGCACCACCATGCCCGGCTAATTCTTGTATTTTTAGTAGAGACAGGGTTTCACCATGTTGTTGACCAGGCTGGTATCTAACTCCTGGCCTCAAGTGATCCGCCTGCCTCAGCCTCACGGAGTGCTGAGATTACAGGCGTGAGCCACTGTGTCCAACCCATCATGTTGATTTTTACCTTTATCATGACTTCTCTCTGCCTCCCCACTATCACTGTCTTAATTTGCATTCAGGTTTCTGAGCTCCATTAATGCAGTAGTCTTCTAACAAGCCTTCTGCCTTCACTGTGGACCCACTCCAAGCCACCCTCCATAGTACTACCAAGATAATCTTTCTAACACATGAGTCTAATCATGTTACTCTTCATAGTTTTCAGAATAAAGCTCAAACATCTTGGCCTATGTCAGATACCAATTGCTACGTAACAAACCACCCTAAATGTGGTAGCTTACCACAGCAGTAACACATTATTTTTTATGATTCTGTGGGTTGGCTGTGTTCATCTGCAGTTGGATGATGGCTGAAATAGCTGTGTGGTCCAAGATGGCCTCCTCCATCCCTCATATGCCAGCAGTCAGTGCTGGCTATCAGCTGGGGCCTCTCAGTATCCTCACCACCTGGCCTCTCATTCTTTAGTAGGCAAGATTGCCTTTCTTACAAGGTGGCAGCCTCAGACAGCATTTCAAGAGGGGCAGACCTCAGCTCCGCAATTTGAATAATACCACTTCTGACACATTCTGTTGGTCAAAGCAAGTCATGAAGCCAGCCTCATTTTTGAGGTGCTGAAGTAGGCTTTGCCTCTTGATAGGAAGAGCTGCAAAACATTTGTCACCACATTTAATTTACCACAGGATGCAGGGTTTCTCAAGATCTCATCTCAAACTGTCACTTTTCCAGCCTCATCTCCCTTCTCATGCTTCTTGGTGGCCATACTGGAAATTCCTCAGATATCAACTTCTCTGGGATGCCTTCCTTGATCCCCAAATTTTGATTTATTTTGTATCAGTTGAGATGCGATGTGTTGCAGGTAATCAGAATTTTGACTCAAAGCATCATAAAAAATTAGGAAATGTATTATTGTATACATCAAGAAATGCAAGGCCAAGCATGGTGGTTCACGCCTTTAATCCCAACACTTTGGGAGGCCGAGGTGGGAGGATCACTTGAGCCTAGGAGTTCAAGGCCACCCTGGGCAACATAGGGAGACCCTGTCTCTATGAAAAAATTTTTTTAATTAGCCAGGCATGCATGGTGGTGTGCACCTGTAGTCCCAGCTACTTGGGAAGCTAACATGGGAAGATTGCTTGGGCCCTACGAAGCCTTGGGAGGTTGAGGCTGCAGTGAGCCATGATCACACCACTGCACTTCAGCCTGGGTGACAGAATGAGACCCTGCTTCAAAAAAAGAAAATGAAAGAGAATGGCACTGGTGGATGGATGTCAGGGTTGTTTGATGCAGTGACTGATTGGTATCACCAAAAACTCAGCTCCATTTCAAATCTCCATTTGGCCTCAAGGTGTCTCTTTTCACAGTTATAATATAGTTGCTTCAGTTCCAGATGTCACAGTCAGATATAGCAGTGTCCAAAGAGAGAAAAAGTCTGTCTTTCTTGATACATTTTTCTTGTGATTTGGAAACCTTTCCCTATTTTCCCACAGGCAACCTTCCCTCATGTATCCTTGTTCACAGTGAGTTCCTTTGCCTACACCTAAACCAATCACAAGAAGGAACAAGCAGAATCTACCCCTGACTTGGGGCTAGTGTTATGTCTCTTAAATCATGTAAAGAAATGGTATTTCCCTGAGTAGATTTGGGAAGGAAGAAGAAAGGGAACAAGGTGTTGTGGAACAGCCAGAAATGCCAGCAAAAAGGTGTATGTCCCATATTCCATAGTTTTTTTTTTTTCCCCAGGAAATGTTTCTGAGTCATAATATTCCATAGTCTTCTATGTACAGCTCTGTCCCAGGGGCTTGCAGTGGTTGCTTCACATAACTAGCCCAGAGGAGCTTTTTATTTTATTTTATTTATTTTTGTTTTGTTTGAGACGGAGTCTTGCTCTGTTGCACAGGCTGGAGTGCATTGGTGTGATCTTGGCTCACTGCAACCTCCACTTCTCAGGTTCAAGTGATTTTCTTGCCTTAGCTTCCCGAGTAGCTGGGATTACAGGTGCATGCAGCAATGCCCAGTTAATGTTTGTATAATTTATTAGAGATGGGGTTTTACCATGGTAGCCAGGCTAGTCTTGAACTCCTGACCTCACGTGATCCACCCATCTCGCCCTCCTGAAGTACTGGGATTATAGGTGGGAGCCACTGTGCCCAACTAGAGGAGCTTTAAAAAACAAAATTTACCAAAGATGAATTAATTGGAATCTTTGGTGGTTGAACCTGGGCATTAGCATTTTGTAAAATCAATGCTAGGAATTCTAATCTATAACCAGAAACTAGAGCCACTGCTCTTCCCTTTCACTTATCACTGGAATCGTTTGTATGCCCATTTTCTTAACCACATGGCATACTTATTAAGGATGTGGGCCACTCTTCTTTGTCTATGTATCTCTAATACCTAGCACAGTGTCTGGTTTTCAGGTAATAAATGTTTGGTGAGTGAATGAATAAGCCAATGCAATGTGTCAAAGTAAAAGGAGGGTTCTTTGCTTCCAAGGAACTAGGATTTATTGGTAAAAGCAGATGCACATGCAAATATAAATATGGTTACATCAGCTAGAAATAGAAGGGGGAACACTGAACATGGAGGTGGCTACAATAAAGAAATCAAAGCTTAACAATGTAAGATACCTTAGGTAAATAAGTTATCTAAAATGGAGTAATGAGTTTCTAAGCTGGAAAGGTTGCGTGGGGTTAGATTTCTAATGGGTCATTAGTGTCAAACTAAAGGGATGGTCTTTGTCATATAGGCAATAAAAATTTGTGAAAAGTTTTTTTTTTTTAAATCAAAGACTGACATGAATAGACGTTTTGAGTTAGAAAGTAACTGGTAGGAGTGTTAAAAGTATACTGTCTGGGGAAGATGGGTTAAAGACAGAAAGAACAGAGAGTACTGAGTGAAAAAACATTTTTTTTTAAAAATTTTTTATTGCATTCTAGGTTTTGGGGTACATGTGCAGAACATGCAAGACAGTTGCATAGGTACACACCTGGCAGTGTGTTTTGCTTCCTTTCTTCCCTTCACCCACATTTGGCATTTCTCCCCAGGCTATCCCTCCCCACCTCCCCCTCCTACTAGCCCTCCCCTTTTCCCCCCAATAGACCCCAGTGTTTAGTACTCCCCTCTCTGTGTCCATGTGTTCTCATTTTTCGTCACCCGCCTATGAGTGAGAATATGCGGTGTTTCATTTTCTGTTCTTGTGTCAGTTTGCTGAAAATGATGTTCTCCGGATTCATCCATGTCCCTGCAAACGACACAAACTCATCATTTCTGATTGCTGCATAATATTCCATGGTGTATATGTGCCACATTTTCCCAATCCAGTCTATTATCAATGGGCATTTGGGTTGATTCCAGGTCTTTGCTATAGGAAACAGTGCTGCAATGAACATTCGTGTGCATGTGTCCTTATAGTAGAACGATTTATAGTCCTTTGGATATAAACCCAGTAATGGGATTGCTGGGTCAAATGGAATTTCTATTTCTAAGGCCTTGAGGAATCGCCACACTGTCTTCCGCAATGGTTGAACTAATTTACACTCCCACCAACAGTGTAAAAGTGTTCCTTTTTCTCCACATCCTCTCCAGCATGTTGTCTCCAGATTTTTTAATGTTCGCCATTCTAACTGGTGTGAGATGGTATCTCAATGTAGTTTTGATTTGCATCTCTCTGATGACCAGTGACGATGAGTATTTTTTCATATGATTGTTGGCCTCATATATGTCTTCTTTCGTAAAGTGTCTGTTCATATCCTTTGCCCACTTTTGAATGGGCTTGTTTGTTTTTTTCCTGTAAATCTGTTTGAGTTCTTTGTAAATTCTGGATATCAGCCCCTTGTCAGATGGGTAAACTGCAAACATTTTTTCCCATTCTGTTGGTTGCCGATTCACTCTAGTGACTGTTTCTTTTGCCGTGCAGAAGCTGTGGAGTTTGACTAGGTCCCATTTGTCTATTTTGGCTTTTGTTGCCAATGCTTTTGGTGTTTTGTTCATGAAGTC